TTTCATAAGCAATTCATATGCAAGATAAAATTTAGTTCCGAGTACATTCTGAGTTAAATCTGTTAATTCTTATACTGATACTTTTTGTAATTTTGTAATTAATTAAGGCATCTTCACTGTAATGTAAGATTAAGATAACAAATGAATCTCAATTACACAATCTAATCTTAGAAAGAGTTTATAAATTGGCACAGATGTACAGGTATGATTTTTAAAACATCTTACTGAAGGACACAATGGTGATAAAGCAGATCCATATCATTTACAGGCACTTTTTTATTCACAGGGGTTTCATTCTTCATTTATTGTATCTAAATTAACTATCTAATTGAGTTTCTTATTGTACTTGAAAGTTGAAGCTACATTAATTAATGTAAAATCAGCCGTTTTTTCTCAAGATGGAATAGGGCTGCACGATAAATCGCATGCGATTATCATGCGCATCTCATCAGTTTCTAGTCTGGAGAAGAAAGGTATGTTTACTATAGCGAATGTACAGCGAATTTGCCTATAGTCCAGTGGTTCTCAAAGTGTGGGGCGGGCGCGAGTCATCAGCAGAAAAAGAAAATAAATAAAACAGTAAACAGCCAAAGGATGTAATTCAGAATGGGAGATGGATCGGTTTGTGAAAGGGAAGAGAAAAGCCATAGATGAAGTCGCACAGACCCAGGCAGGTGCTGGTCATTTAAAAGCTAAATGCAGAAAATATGACGAGGCATATCTTGCTCTCGGCTTCACTCACTGTGTCTATACCGCCAGATGTTTTTATAGGTTTAAAGGGGGGCGCAACCAAAAAAGTTTGAGAACCACTGCTATAGTCAAAAGCACAGCTCACGCAAAAGTCAGTTTCAAACCAAGAAGTTTTCTGTTGCTCAATGTGGCAAATTCATGTGGCCATCTTGAACCTGTTGCAAAACCTACGTGTGAAAATCTTTTGCACTTACACTAAATTTTGAATGCATGGATTCCGATTGAAACAACTGGATTTCGTTGAATAGTAGTAAATGTGAATCACTTTCCCATTTCTGTGTTAGCTTCTTTTTAAAGCTCAGTTGGGATAGTTTTTTTTTTTTTGTTCCTGATGCAATGTCATTTCCTTATGGCCACATGGACATTTTGTCTAATAATTGTTTTTGAATACAAAAAAGCAATTTCCGACAGTTTCCTTTTTTTTTTTTTAGTGACTACACCAAATATGGTAGTGTTTATGTAGTAATTCATCCCTCAGGTCTCTCACAACTGCACAGAACTGTAAACCATTCCCTTCTGTGTCACCATGTGCTGGGTCATGTGGTCTGTCAGGGTTGTCTGGTGTGAATCAAAGCCTCATAGATGACAGACAAGAGTGTTGGACGTACTGTACCAACATAGTAAAATTATCCGATGTACAATTTACAATGCCAAAACTAAAAAGTTCACTTTTAAACGTAATTTATCTTGGTCAAGGGGCCAGGCCAGAAAGATATTCCCTCAAATGCACTGGTAAACATTAGCAGAGGCCTCCTTTGAGCCAGGTCAGGGAACCCTGCCATAAGTCAGCCATTCTCATATATATGAGGCGGAAAGTGACAACCACCGCGCGCGTCTGCCCACACGAGTGCCTGCTGGAGATCTGAAAGTGAGCAGGAGAGATTAACCAATATGTAACTTGATAGGCTTTCTTGATACCCTCCTCTCACTCTCCTCTGATTACTAACCACGGCCACATGTGGAAAACCTGACCAAACATAAAAATGAGGTGGAAATCTGTACATGAGCTTCTTGTAAGTATCTCCATATGGCCAGTTTGTGTGTACTCAGCAGGAAGGGTGATGAATAAGAGCCCCGCTCATGGCTAACCCCAGGTGGATCATATATAAATAATAGTGCTGCCTTAACAAGTAGGCTTAGCATTGGCTCTCGGCATTTAGTCTTTGAATCTCACCATTGCTTGTTATTTGCTCTAACGTGTGAATAAGTTACCTGATGGTTGTCAGCTATCATTCAAAAAAGATTTAAGATGAATATTTTTGAATTGCATGTAAAACTTCCATCCATTTGGATTACACAGTTTTACAAACTAATAAACTTAATGTGATGCATATTTGTCAGTCATGCATAAATTAAAGAAGTAAGATTTCTGTAATAGTACTAATAAACTAAATGTGTTTTAACTGTACAACAACCAGGTTTAAATATTTATAATCAATAAATCAAATTTTTTTACTTTAACTAATTGAATGTTGCATGTTCTACAGCAGGGGTGGGCAAACTTGGCCCTTCCAGGCCACTTTCCTTCAGAGTTTAGCTCCAACCCTAATCAAACACACCTGAACCAGCTAATCACTGTCTTCAAGACTACTAGAAGGCTACAGTCAGGTGAGTCATATCAGAGTTGGATCAAATCTCTGCAGGAAAGTGGCCTGGAAGGGCCAAGTTTGCCCATCACTGTTCTACAGCTAGCCATAACCATGTTCTGGATTTTGTAATGGAATATATTTAATTGATTTCACACTGAACAAATTTATAGTGATTCTAAACTAATTTATGCGGATTCTAATGTATTCAAATTTGAATAAATGCAATTTGAAAATATGATTGTTTAAAAAAAATCAAATGTATGCAAATAGTTAATAATAAACTGTCATGACGTTTTTGAGTGTACCTGTTTCTAACCTGTTTAACTGATGTATGACGGACAAATAATCATCACATTAATTTCATGTTAATACTGTGTAATCCAAATGGATGGAAGTCAAATACATAAATATTTAAAGCAGTTCAAACAAAAATGAAAATATCTACTGAAATTTACTCACCCTCAAGCCATCCAAGATGTAGATGAGTTTGTTTCTTTGGAGAAATTTATACTGCAGCATTACAATACTTGCACACCAATGGAGCCCTTGCAATTATTGATAATCTAAACAGCTGATAAAAATCATCACAATAATCCACAAGTAATGTACACAACTCCATTCCTGAGGAAACAAACTCATCTACATCTCAGATGGCCTTAGAATAAGTACATTTTCAGCAAATTTACATTTTCCATTGAAATATTACTTTAATTTAGGCCTAAATATTTTTTAGAGTGTATCTAATAAGATCCCAAGGTATTTGCTGCAGTAATTTTACACATTATGAAACACAGGGCGAACAGTTGAGTAGTCTTTTCAGCACAAAAACTGACCAGAGATCCATTTAAGTAGCCGCTCAATGTGCTGAAATAGGGCTGTGCCAGAAATTTAATTTATGAGAGATGTTTGTGTACATTTTCTAGTGATCTTGGCAGCAGTAGTCTATCAAATGATGATTAAACAATAGAGAAGAGTTATAACCAGCATAACCAGTATATATAAAGACATGAAATGTTCTGCATCGTAGCAGTGGAGTGATGCTGTACAGTCCCTCTAAAATATGCCAGATGGCAGTCTGCTGCATCCTTCACAGCTTACTTCAGATAAAGAATGCTTAGGATGAGTGCTTTTTTACCTGATTTGCATAAATTCTTGAGTGAATCGGGTGCTAAAACAATGCAGAAAGCATGTGCAAATAAACATCATCAAGCCCAAATCATTCCGCCACAGTATTTGTTCCCTATCAGTGTGGCCTTTAGTTTCGGTTGCCACATATCTAAAGTGACGGCCATTTGGATTGTGACTTTTGCAGTTTGTTGTTTAAGATCACTTCCATTTTGTCTGCTTTACTAACAACAGAGCATATAAATCAGTGTCTAGAGAGCTTTCTTGCACTCTCTCTACTCAAGCCCCCTGGTCGCTGCTGGAAAAGTGAGCTAATGAAGAAAATCATGTCCATATCGTATATGCCAAAAGCATATGCCAGAAGTACCCTTTAAAACACAACACTTTCTTTTTTAAGTGGAGGGCAATTTTCTGAATGCATGCCTTGGGCAAACTATGCTACTTACGTACAGTACTTACCATGAGGGCCAGAATAATGAAAAATGTATGGTTTTTTAACATAGCTTCATTCCCTAAATTTGACTAAGCTGCTTCCCTCAGATTCTGACAGTGTTGGCGACTTTAAGGGACTAAAGGACTAAACGTTTTCCAGGGTTTGAGCTGAAGGTGGGGGGCTGAGAGGTCCTGAACCACTGTAAGAATTAAGGGATCTACTATAAGTCTTTATTTATTGCCCTGACATTTTTTTTTTTCTTTTCGTCACTCATTCTTTCCAAGTTTCTGTCTGAAATTTATAAAGGTGCCTAAGTGCACAATACATAGTTTTATGAGGCATTTACAGATGGGACTGCCACTGTGGATTCATCACTGCTTTAATTTCAAGTTACGTGTTTATACACGTACTGGCATAGATATGCAATTTTACCTGATCTGTTAAAAAATAATAAATTCATTTATCCTTTCACTTAAACCCATGGAGATTTGGGAGAGAAATAATTTGAGCAAAATGTGTCACTACATAGAAGAAAAAAAAACTTTTAGGCTTCCAAAATGCCTGACAATAAAATTTCCACTAAGGGGAAAGTTGTTTGAAGACGGATCAGTTTTGACAGATGTTTTCTTTAATCGGCGGATTGTCTTTGATTTAATTAACTTATGTCGCTTACATCACTGAGGTTCGAATAAATGATCGTTTTATAATTTGATTTAAATCTTGATGCTGTTCATAACTGGGGGAGTTACTCATTTTACCTGCCAAAGTCAATTTTTACTCACATTGGCACTTTGTGAGTGTTAATTTGGGACCCTGATAGCAGCTATTGGACTGGTCATGGTCATGTGCTTCTAAAACAGTCTGGTACATGAGTATTCATTTCACTGACTCTTTTTCTCTCTGTACATCTAATTATCTTTTATGCCCCTCTCCTTTCCTTTCTTGTCTTTTTATTGGCCTTTTATTGTTCGGAAAAAAGAAAAGAAAACAATATTGTGGTTCAAGGCTTGTGACCCAGCTTAAGTCTCCTGCAGTGATTGCACATTAACTATGGAGGAGACAGCGCACAAACACAAGTGAACATGTGTTGTGTTGTTTTGTAGGGTCCCCCTGGTCCGCATGGAAACCCAGGCCGCCCAGGGACCCCCGGACCCAAGGTATGTACCACTGAATACAGATTTGTAATGCTTTTGTGGATGCTAACAAACTAGTTTGCTGGAACTGTGAGGCCCCTTTTGGTTACGCTTTATTTTGATAGTCCACTTTAGACATTCTACTAACTATAAGTAACTTTGCAACTACATGTCAACTAATTCGCATTAATTTGCAACTACATGTCTACTGACTCTCAGAGTAGACTGTTAGGTTAGGTTTAGGGTTAGTAGAGTAAGTTGACATATACTTGCAAACATAGTCTCATAGTCAGTATGTTTTATGTTGTGGACCCATCAAAATAAAGTGTTAGAAGATATTAAGCAGACAGTCTACTAATACTCTAATGACTGCTAGTTGACATGTAGTTGCAAAGTTACTTACTGTTAGTAGAATGTCTAAAGTGGACAATCAAAATAAAGCGTTAACCCCACTTTTGTCTGTTCTTATTTAGTTTTATTTGTTTTTTGTTTTACGAAGCAATTTGTGATGACATTGATCAGTATGTTTGGACATACCATAACAAAAACCCGTGCCCGTAAGATTCAAGTCTTGAACTTATTAGTGAATTCCTCAAACTCAAAGGGGATCATTAAACATATGCATGAGCTTTGATCTACTCAGTGGCTTCTAATTATGAGCCATATGCACTTTAAGTATCACTTTAATAGGTGATTGTGTATTTTTACAACAATGATATCACAAGGTAGACTATGTCAGTAGACTACAGTACTACAATACAAAAACACTACTACTTTGGGACCAATAGAAAACCAGTAACTCTGCCATCTAAGTTTAGCTGTTGTAAATTAAAAGAGAAACAATAAAACATGAGTAGCTCATGAACGTTTATGAACATCTGATGAACGTTGGCAAGAAATATGGGTGAAGTACGAGTTTGACGACATCATTGGACCTGTTTATTTCCATTCACACTTTTCACAGTTGTTCATTTTGCCACATCTGGCTGCTTGTGGAAGTCATACAATAGACCAGGAGAGCAACGATCTTTCTTTGCCATATGAAGGCGAGTCCAAATTTAAAATTCCCATTACTTACTGATACTGCCAGTTGGGACAAGGATGAGACAAATAGAAAGAGGGAAGAGCAAAATGAGAGAGACAGACCCACAAAACTAACACATTAATGCAGTATGTTTGTTGTTGGCTTCCTAGCAGTCGTTTCTCTCTATAAATGTATTCAAATAGCAATTATTTGGTCATTCATTGAGCGGTAAACCATCAAATGATGGATAAAAGAATTATAACTAGCATGTATCCAGAGACACATGGTGTAGACAAGCACACTTTTGGCTTTTAAGAGCCAATTTTGGTGTCTGAATTGCAGTGTTGGAGTGAAGTTGTACATTCACTGCAAAGTACAAGCCTGGTGAATTCTTCACAACCAAGCTCAAAACCTACAAGATTATGCCATGCAAATTGCATTCGGCACAGATTTATGGGCATGTTTGCACTCTTACCTGATTTACATAATTACTTTGGTGAAACAGCCGCAAAAACAATGCCAGAAGCATTGTCAAACAAAAAACAGCTGATTAACTGCTTAGATTGATTGGAGGACAAAATATGCTAGCACTTGTACATGTGTTTGAATCATAACCATAACACATGGCTTCATCCCATTGCCTGAAAAGGCAGAAGAATGTAGTGTGTGAACCCCAGTGTCATTGCAGAGGCTTAGTGTAAACTTATTCTCACTAGCGTACACGTGTCACTCTCTTGTGTAAACAACACTCCTTTCCTTTGCAAGCCTGCATTACTCCATGGAGACTATATAGAAAAATTAAGAGAGGAATTCTGTTACAGTGTTCTGTTTGGAATGGATTTTAGAGCAGGGGTCACAATAACTACCCAGTAACCTCCTCATTTCCTGTGCGATGTATACATGGTTCAAAACAACAGTGAGTGGTGTGTCACTGTATATTGTTTGAAAAGTCTTTTCATTTAAAAGCCTTTTAGGCTGGTATACTCCACTTAACTTTTATGAAAGCTTTGTATAATGTAAATACACCTCATTCTAATATTTTAATTTTTTCCATGAGTGGTAGTTTGGATCAGTTATTTGTCTTCTGTGTGTTACAGGGAAAAAAGGGAGACCCTGGAATCTCACCTGGCAGAGCACCAAATGGAATAAAGGTATGTGTTTTAAAGTATGGAATAATGGAATAAAGAACGGAAACAAATAGAATAAAGTATATTGTGCACTAGCAAACTTTTTTTTCATGCTTAAAATGATGCAAGTTCTTGCATTAATCAACACACTGATTCTTGAAAATAAAAACAAGAAATATATTAAAAAACTATTTAAATTAACTGTTTTTTATCTATTTATTTATTTTCAAATGTCATTTATTCCTGTGATGGCAAAGCTGAGTTTTCAGTCATTATTCCAGTCTTCAGTGTCACGTGATCCTTCAGAAACCATTTTAATATGCTGATTTGCTCAGTTGTGCTGTTTAATATTTTTGTGGAAACCATGATTAATAAGCCTGAAGGACTTGATTAGCTGGATCAGGTCTGTTTAATTAGAGTTGTGAAAGTAGAGTTTAGGGCTGTGGCCCTCCAGGAACTGAGTTTTGCACCCCTACCTTAAGGCCTGGGACACACTAGATTATTTTCAAATCTTAACCGATTTTAAAATGGTGGAGACCACCACAGTTTTAACTGACTTTTAACATTATAATCCTCCTGCCAATTATAGTATCATTTTCATAGTGAGACGAGATCTCACATAGACTTGCGAGATCAAACATGACTTGCGAAGAAATTAGAATAACATAGCAGCAAACAAGTAGCATATACTTCGCTATATACGTGTACCAGAATAGTATGTGCATACTGTACGCACATCATCAGATTTTTGGACAACACTAGCCTGGGCCATTTTTTCACAGTAGAAAACAAAACAAAAGAGACTGAACAACAACAAAACAACAAAATAGCGGAGACTATTATAACAGACGGCTGCATTGACAAGCGCTTGTGTGAGAGGGTTATGAGATAGCGGCAACTTTATCAATCATAACTTCTGGAGAAAATAGAGCAGATGCTGGATAAAGATGAAGCTTTCTAGAGCACATGTGATGACCGCCTGTGTTCATGCAGGCAATCAAATGGAGTATACTTTGAAAAGGTTGCACGTTCGACTATACGCATACGCTAGCGTGCACTTAAAAAAACTGAAGTATACTTTGGACTTAAGTTACAATGTGTGGTGTCTCTGAATATGTTAGCACTGCCAAATTTACCAGGAGTAATTTTCAGTGTTCTCCTTTTTAGGGGGACCCTGGGATATTAGGGCTACCCGGACTACCCGGTCAAGCTGGTCGGAAGGTAAGAGTCATTCTTTGATTCTAGGGAGACTCCACCAATGTCACGTCACAGAACGGATCTAAGCATAGTTCCCAACCCAGATGTTTGGAAATGTTCAGCACACTTAATTTGCAACAGCATAGCATCATGTTTTTCCAGGAAACATTATTGCTTTATCAGCCCTATGCTAAAGTAATCCCTCACATACAGTCATACCACGGTTTATTCTGGATGGTGAGACATCAGTCCAACTCAGCAAATGCGAAACAGGTTCTTGTGTCGAACTCCTCCTAAAATCAGTTGTGTGAAATCCCATTGGAAAAGGTTCTTGTAGTAGACCTCACGGAAGCTTAGAGCATTTCCCCTGCTTTTCTAGAAAGAAACCCAATTTGTTTCAGACATGTCCACCTGACCTTGATGTCCTGGATGCCGCTGTGAATGGGATAGCCAGCGCATGACCTCATTGTAGTCCAATTCCAAGGGATGTCTGTGGAAAATTCCTTTTAAAATTCTGTGGTTTACCTCCATGTAGTGTGTGTATATTATTTTGAAATGTTCTTTACCTAACAGGACCAAATAGGTGTCATTATAGTACAACAGAAGAGGTAATGGGTTCCAAATCAAATGAACAGACAGCACTTTGGCCAGGGCAGAAGTCCTGCTTCAAAACAGTCATATTTCCAGTGAACATATACACTGTCTACACCGCTGAGATGAAATTGGCTCTGCCAGGTCCCTCTACTAACACTTTCAGACAGCCATTTGAAATTGCAGAGACGCCCATATTCACTTTCTCCAAAGCGGAAAATTTGCTATTAAGCTTTTAGAAAACCTTCACAGATGGCATTTTCAGTTGGGTTTGCGAATTTGGCATTCAGTACTTTGGCATTCTGAGAAGTAATTTTATGTGCTGTTGAGTAGCACACGCAGTCACACAACACACCCATACATACAGACCCATACATGTGCGTCGTATTACATCATCAGTTTTACATATATTCATAATCAATTGTGTTTGTTTGAACGTTTGGATCAAAACGACTCCCTGAAACATTGTAAAGTAATGGAATTACCTGGCATTTTCTTTTTCTCCATGTGTTTCCAATCACACAGCCACAGATATAAAACAAAATATTAAAAGCTGGTGGAAAATAGTTGCAGACACTACTTGTGCTAAATTACTGCTGGCAACGAACCATAAAGTTATTCCATCCATGGGCCGTGGCCAAAGAGAAAATCTTGTAACAATAAAACAAATGAAAAATGTAATGCTCAAACGTACCGTAAAGTAACACATGTACAGTAAGTAGAAGTGACACATTTGGTCATATGTGCAGGTAATGATCGATTGGGATTGAGTTATGCTTTTAATTTCAAAATATTGAGCCATGTACAGTCTTTCAATCGTTTCACACTCGCGCTCTGGGGATCAGCAGATGTGGACTCTGGCACAGCTGGACGGTGTGCTGTAATAGGACGAGTGTGGGCTACTAACGTCTGCTTGGAGATTGTAATGCTCCTCCCCTTCTCTTTCTCACTGAGATTCACTGGGACCCTTTTGGCAATGATCGTTTATACACTATATTTGTCATTTGGTTTGTGTAACTGTTTTATAGACCCAAGATGTGAACGGTGAACCGTTGCACGGCATGTATATGTTAGTATTTTTTCTGTGATGTGTCCTGAAGTGATTTCTGTAGAGCTGACTCCACATCATTCGTCATTACAAGCTCCAGATTCCTTTCTTCTTACTCATATTCCCACACTCAGCTGCTCTGTGCTCAATTGCTTATCTAAGTTCTCAGACATAGTTGAACCAGTTTTTGTGTTTTCAAAGCAAAGCATCTAAGGCAAGCATCACTATTATTATTGCTCATAATGAAGTAAAAGGATTTCAAACTCCTTACCCAAAGTATTAAACTAGTAACACTTTTCAATATGGTCCTTGAAGTTAACGTTAGTTAATGCATTAACTGACAATGAGCAATACATTTGTTAGTAATCTTTGTTAATGTTATTTATTTCATTAGCTCATGTCCATTAAATAATATTAACAACATTTATTTTTGATGATTTTAATGATGTCTTGGTAAATGCTAAAAGTAACTTTAATATTAATAAATGTGGTAACTCTTTAGATTAGGGAACCTGTTCACTATTAACCAGTTGTTTATTAGCAGTTTATTCATTAATTATTATTATATTCATATTTACCGGCATATTGGCTGTTTATTATTACTTACAAAGCATATTAATGCATGACCATATTCTAGATCCCATAACCCCACCCAATACCTAAACATGAGTACTACAACAACTACCTTACTTTCTATCAAAAAGCAGCAAATTAGGAGTTCATTGAGGGAAAACTCTTCTAATCTAAATTGTTACTATATATGCTTTAGTGGTATTTGTAATTGTTAGTTAACTAATAGTTAACTTATGTTAACAAATGGAACCCTTACCATTCAATTTTTGCGACAAATGTAAATGACCTTTTTTTTTAATAATAGTGTGCAAATACTTTTCTTTATGATCAGACACAGATTTTGCCACGCAGGCTGTAAAACAGGCAAAAAAAAAAGTTGTTTCTGGTTTGCTGGATTTAAAGAGTTTTTGGACACTTCTGTAGACCCCAGCTACAGTATATCAACTAAAGACCAGCTAAGTCTGGCTTGGAGGCTGGTTTAAGCTGTCTCTTTTAAACATAGGATGGAGTCTTTTAATGTGGTCCATTAAATAACCACCTGGAAACCACCAACCCTCTACATTGCGAGTAAATCATTCTTCGTCAAGCGATCTGTGATATTTTTCAGTTCATTTGAATGGATGCGCAGCGCACCTGTGTTTGTGTATTTGGCGTAA